TACACAGCCCTTACACACCTGGGGTCTTGTACAACCCTCATACACCCCTTGCACACCCCTTACACACCTGGGGTGTTGTACAGCCCTTACACACCCATTACACACCCGTTACACAGCCCTTACACACCCAGGCTGTTGCAAAGACCTTGCACACACCTTGCACACCCCTTACACAATTAGTGATACACCCGTTACACAGCCCTTACACACCTGGGGTGTTGTACAGCCCTGACACACCCGTTACACACCCGTTACACACCCCTTACACCTCTGGGATGTTGTACAGCCCTTACACACCCCTTGCAGAGCCCTTGCACACCCATTACACCTCTGGGGTGTTGTACAGCCCTGACACACCCCTTGCACAGCCCTTACACACCTGAGGTGTTGTACAGCCCTTACACACCCCTTGCACACCCCTTACACAATTCATTATACACTAGTTACACACCCCTTGCATACCTGGGGTGTTGTACAACCCTTACACACCCCTTGCACACCCCTTACATACCCCTTACACCTCTGGGGTGTTGTACAGCCCTGACACACCCGTTACACACCCCTTACACCTCTGGGGTGTTGTACATCCCTGACACACCCCTTACACACCCCTTACACCTCTGGGGTGTTGTACAGCCCTGACACACCCCTTGCACAGCCCTTACACACCTGAGGTGTTGTACAGCCCTTACACACCCCTTACACACCCCTTACATCTCTGGGGTGTTGTACATCCCTGACACACCCCTTGCACACCCCTTACACACCTGAGGTGTTGTACAGCCCTTACACACACCCTGCACACCCCTTACACAATTCATTATACACTAGTTACACACCCCTTGCATACCTGGGGTGTTGTACAACCCTTACACACCCCTTGCACACCCCTTACATACCCATTACACCTCTGGGGTGTTGTACAGCCCTGACACACCCGTTACACACCCCTTACACCTCTGGGGTGTTGTACATCCCTGACACACCCCTTGCACAGCCCTTACACACCTGAGGTTTTGTACATTCCTTACACACCCCTTGCACACCCCTTGCACGCCCCTTACACCTCTGGGGTGTCACCCACCCCTCTCACGCCTCCCCCATGTCCCCCCCGTCCCCTCCCCCCGTGTCCCGTGTCCCGTGTCCCTGTCCCTCACCGTGTCCCGGTCCCGTGTCCCATGTCCT